TCGGAGATCAACCTCCTAAGCTCTTGAACTATCGTAGGGTTCCCAAGCCCTCGACAGTTCCAGCATAAGATCGTCACGACGACTGGTGGAGCTGAGCCTCAGCCACCGTCGTTAACACAAAATCACCTGCACGTTCCTCCGGTAACTCGCTTGGGTCCTCCTCCTTACTAGTACCCACCTTAGAGTTCAGGGTAGAGTCCGAAATATGCACTACTTGGCGATTCACTCGTTTAACCTTCCTCTTTCCTTTGCTTGGCTCCCCATTCTTTCTCTTCCCCGAACTTGAAGAACCGACCTCAGCCCTCACACTCGATTCTCGGTCAGCTTGTTGCTCTTCCAATAACATGTGCTCGAGAGCGATGAAAACCTCCGGAAAAGTTCGAGGGAGAGAGCTATCAGGTCCTGTGGGATCATACGGATTTGAGTCGTCTTCTTAACTAGAGTTGGATGAATGCAGAAGATCTCTTCCCGGCATCCACGGTCTCCCTTGGGGAATCCTCACAACCCGATCTGAAATCGGACTGTTCACCGAGCTTGTCATAGACCGTCCATTGTTCTCCCCTTCAACATAAATAATCTCTTATCTTCTTCGATTGCGATTCTCTTCTGGGCGCTTAATAGGCGACACTCTGAGCCATTCCCCGAAATGAAGCGGCTGCTGTAAGTGATCCGAAAAGCCTGGACATTCAGTAAGCACATGGCCAATAATACCACACCAATGGCAGAACGAAGGCAGCCGTTCATACTTGAGCAAATACTTCCTCGGTTGCCCATTCGCTAGCACCCCCATCTTGGCACATCTACGCAACGGCTTGGTGCAGTCAATCTCCAATCTAACTCTAAGGTAGTCACTCATTCTACCTTCTCCTGACCTTGTATCCATTGTAATAGTCTTTCATATTATGTTGTTGATCTTTTCGGCTATCTCAATCCGCATGAGCCCCAAAGGGAGCTCATAAATTCTCACCCACACAGCAAGGGGCCTGAAATCGAATTCTTCAAGACTTAATGTAGGGTCAAAGTGTGCAATGGCCAAAAGAGTTCCTTCAAAACTCCATGGGATGCATTTCATAATCGCTTATTTATCTGAGAGCGTTTTGAACTTAAATAGGAACATATTACCCTTCAAGATGCTAGAATCCAGTAGTCTAGAATGACCCCAAATAGACCGGAAGACCCGCAACACCACCTCGCTATCTACTCTCTTGTATCCAATTATCCGCGTAACAATCCACTTGTCCATTTCTACCACATCATCTTCAGTAATGACTCACGGTGGAGAAATGTCCTCTGACTCCTCCTCAGTGAAACTCAGATTCTTCATAAGATCCGCAACCTCCTCAGACATTATACTAGTAGAATGAGCAAATAAAGGAGAAAACAAAATATCACTCTTACATCCTTTTTGGTTAGCCGACACTTCAAAGGAGACCCTCCGAAAATCAAAGACAAAGATAGAAAGTTTTCTTTTGAAAGTGTGGGAAGTAAGATCAACCTCTTCTCCCCTTAGTCTCCTTACCCTATCCCGGCTAGCAACCCCTCCCCCCGACTTGACTAGATGATGTCGGATGTGACTTTCCCCACTTACACAATCTACCATCCCTTAATAAAATCTTTACAATAAAATATCCCCTCAAAATACCAACCAGAATATAATTATTTGAATATTCCATATCCCCGAATATAAGCAATCTCACATAGATTTTCCACCCTCTAAGCCTGTCTGTACAGTGACCGCAGAACCTGTCCGTACAGTGACCGCTAGAACTACCTACATGCTCTGTCTGACTTGACATAAATCTCCCGGCCCCCGTCTGATCCCAACCGATCTCATCTGCTGACTGTACAGGGCAGAACATCGGGTAGTCCAGCCCCATACCACATTGAACATATATTTCCTTCTGTACTACATGCTGCCATCGAATCAGATAAATAACTTGATCTTTCACACAACAAGACCACAACTGAATCTTAGATATCCTTGGATCTTTCCATTTAAAATACTTCCAATAAACTCCCCAAAAACAAGCTACTATCATATCATTAAAGGCCTTTATACTTGACTCTTCAATCGAGACTCCCCCAACTTTACTTGTTTGATCAATCCCTCTAAAATAATTCCCATAATCCCAACACCTTAAGTTAGCTCCCTTAATGGACATCTTAACTTTATCGAACCAAATCCTTACCTACTTGCCAGTCCGTACTTCATCAGTTGCAAACGTGTAACAACCTTTGATCTTTCCAATTTCTCCCCTTCTACTTTTGGAACACCAACTCCGACCATCTTCTTCTTTCCCCTTACCGGAACCTGTTAATTTCTCTGACTCAAGGCTCTGCCGTTCTCCTTGGCCTGAGGCCCATTTTTCCCTTTCCTTTCATACAGACCTCCTCTCCTCCCTTAAAGAACCCTTTCCCAATAACACAAATACGAGTGTTCACATAAACCACACTTCCTCTCTTTAGATCATTCCACCGCCAACAACCTTCAAGAAGATCCTGTAAAACATAAATCACGAGTGAGGGGTCGTAATGATAATAGAGAGTACTCTTACCTTCATCTTCATCCACTAAGAAAGAACACCGAGAATGATTTTTGACACTTGAACTATCCAATCCTAATAAACTTTGAACTTGATAAGGAAACAACCAGAATTTATAAACAAATAACCGTTTTGAGCTCCATAAATGGATCTCGACAACCAAGAATCCATGGAAAAACATGGAAGAAACCGCTAAAACCAACCGATGACCCATCTCTAAAAAGAAAACTAGAGATAAGGGAGAGCAAATTCTCCCCAGTAGGCCATTACCTTGACATACCCTCAATCATCATTCTTCAAGTGTTTTCCTGACTCACGAACGCATCTATTCAGTCCATTGGATTATTATCAGAAAAAATACATATATACGAGTTGTCTCTGACTAGGGATGAAAAACGGGTACAATTTCGTGGATTCTGCACCGTACCCGCTCCAATTGGGGTGGAGTGGGGTAGGGATGGGTATAACTTTAGTGGGTAGTGGGTGGGTGTGGATTTAGAAAGTAGTATCCGTCACGGGTAGTGGGAGGGTGATGGGTTTGAGACCTTATTCACCCCGCATCTGCCCGCCCCACATCCGCCTGCCCACTAAATACCCATTAAATTTTGGACCATTATAAATTTAAGTATAATTTTAGGGCTTGTCTTTATGTGTGTCAAAGAATAAAAATATTATGTGTCTGTCATTTATGTTTCTAGGCTTTAATTATGTCTTTTTTTATAATGTTTTATGTACTTTAAGATCTATGTTAACACTTAACTCAGATAATCCTTGGTTTATTTTATTATATTTCTTAATGGACGTGTTTTTCTATGTTTGTTACTTATGTATAACTTAAGGTTATTGTCGGGCGGGTCTAGTCGGGTACGTCTCCAGTTGGGTAGTGGGTGTGGGGATGGATTTGAGAATGTACCTGCGTGGGCGGATGTGGATTTGAAAAATTTTACTCATCATATATGGTGGACGGGTGGTGGATTTGAAAATATTAGGTGGAGATGGGGATGGGAGAGGAGGTATCTGCACCCGACCCGCCTGTTTGTCATCCCTATCCCTGACACGCCGTACCACCTAGAACCTATCCCTGACACGTCGTACCACCTCTAGGTGCTCGGAAGTCAAAGCTGTGCATAACTAAGATGGGTAGACGGACACATCCGAATATTGGGACTGGTCCAACTCTGTTTGCATCTTTCTGATGTTCACATTTGTTTTGTGTTTGCAATGAACAATGTTTTACTCGTTACTCCATTGTGGGTTTTGACTCACATAAACTACACGCTACTCTGTTGGGGTTTGGGGAATGGTTCACGTGCTGCCGCAACAAATGTACTCGTTCCATCCTTCGCTATTACACACCAAACCTTGTTATTGGTGGTCACCAAACTTCTAACATCTTCTACAGCTTACCCGTGCTCTTATTCTCCTCACATTCCGACTCCATGTGTGAAACGTTTATTTCAATAATTTCTAAAATCATAAATGAGTTCCGATGAATTAGGTAGTGATATATGAAAATTTTGATTTTATGTAATATATATATACATATAAATTAATTGAGCAGAGGGAAATCTGTGGTGTTTCTGCACACCTTAATATCACTAATCATATGGAAAGGAAAATGAATATTCATGCATGACCCACGCTGAAAAGGTTGCTTCATTTTGTAGAAAATTTTGTTAATTATGCTAGTCTACACGAGTTGTCTAATTATTAGTGTTAGAGACTTCCTTCTGTAAAAAGAGCCATTTCAAATTGCTTGGTTGTCTATAGTTTTATGATAATTAAAAATAATGTGATGTAAATTAGGTGCCTAAAACGTTCTCAACCAAGGCATGGAAGTTGCAAGCAGAAACTAAATTCTGCTGTAAAAGATATAAAATTTGAACAGGGACAATTAACAGCAATATCTTAAAAGACGAGCAATTGAATTGAGAGGAATGTTCCCATATTATTCTCTGCAATACCCTGTTTAGATTAATCGATTAATAAGATTTGAATTAATCGATTAATAAGATTCGAATTAATCGATTAATAGATCAAATATAAGCGGTTATACTAAAAAATGATGTTACAGTTTCTGGACTGAAATCTGATACATCAATCTACCATAAGTTACTGCTCCAACAACCCATTTTTTGCCATTTGAAAACATATTATGAATTACCAGTAGATGAATATTGCCTGGCCCCCCTTTCCCTTTTTTTGCTCAGATCAAAGCATGTTTTTTACCGAGTAAATACCCAGCAATGCCAGCCAATGTCCCAGTAATAAGCAAACTAGGCATCTTCTGCTTCACACACCTGCTTCTAAGATATGCACAGGTCCACCTCACAAAGAAAGGCGCCCAAGTTTTATGAAACTTCTGAACAGAAAATTCCTACATGATTCAATTGAGCAACACTAAGCCGATAAAAAATCTTTCCATCCCGATATCCAATTTATGATAAAGCATGAATCGGTCTAAGAAAAATATATATGATTAAATATTACTCGTGAATTTCTATTATCCGATAATGAAACTAGTTCAGAGCTGACATGACAATATAATTGCATGTAAAATGTTCTAGATTTTAGGATCTCTTTAGCTATATAAATCAGAGAAGCTGCACGTATAAGGCCATCCAACAGATAATGCAGGTGAGTCGTGATCCACAGTTATAACTTTCCAGGGTTTGTGTCAAGAGCAGCCACTTGGCTCTCAAATTCATCGAAACTGTCAACAAATTTTTCCATCGAGAAGCCCTGCATTTTCTCACAGTAAAGGTTGCAGTTGTCTCAATAATGTAAAGACACTAAAATGCTGATCCTAATAATTTTAAATCTAAAACAAATATCCGACTATAAGCAGCATAGGTTTTTGAACCGGAACATAACGGAAATTCCATGATGTATTTTGGTTGACCATCTCAAATTATATGTTTTTTAGTTAAATGTGTTAATCCTAATCAAACTACGATACTCACCGAGCATTCTCTTTGATGGCTCAATGTTGAGGTAATTTAAAATGTCAAACCAACACAGAGGGTTCAGACTCTAGTTACCCCTTGAAACCTATTTTTACCATTCTAAATGCAATCTACTACCATACTAAAGGGCACACTACATTGCAAAATCATAAGAGGCAACAAGAACACGACCACCTTGGGCGCTAATAACATGTTAAACATCTAACATAAAACCGATTGGCTATCTATGGAGAGACCCAACTTAGAATCTAAGACCATAGAACACCTAATGCGAGTAACCAATGTGAGATAACACCACTCAACACCAACTAATAAAGGAAAATAATCATTTAAAGGCATGCTTTAGAAAATACTCAACTATTTGATCATGGTGCCAAGATTCCAGCAATTTCAGACATATCTTCTAGAAAAGAAGGAAATATCCACTAGTATTTCAGCATAAAGAATGCTGGAGATTCATGTATAACTAAACGACCTGCAAAAGACTATTAAGATATGTAATTGATCTAACATTTTCTTGGTCCATATGAGTACAGTTAACCAATTTCAGTTACTTTGATTTGATTTCTTATAAATCTAATAATCAAACAAAAACAAAAAGAAAGTTGCATGCTAGAGATGAGGAAAATGACGACTCCCAACTGAGTGCAGTTTTATGAAAATATGCAATCGATTATAAGCATGGGAAAAAGAATTTATCCTAAAATCTGATTAAAAAATACCTCTGGTAACTTCTTTTGTTGGTCTAGATGATCCACATGTAGCCTGACATTTGATGCAGCAGCAATCCAGAAACTGTGGTCAACCCCGGAATACACATTAGCAACTATGTCAAACAGTGTTTCTGCTCCATTTTCTATGGCTTTCAAAATGCTTGCTTCTCTGCTCCTTCGGTTCCTGATTAGAAGGAATCTCTATAAAAAATTCTATGTTGTTTGCAATTCCATGATGCTAGAGAATCAAATTATCCAACAAAAAAGTGAGCTTTATATATATAAGATAACTATCAGCCTAACTTGTCATTGTCAGCATTGCATAACTCTGTCCAAGTACCTATGAAAGGTATCACAAAAATAAAACAAAAAACTTGAAAAAGATATTCTGAGACGAGAAATGCTAATTGTCAATTGTTTAGATATAATGAGATTTTCTGATGTCCCAAGATAGATTTCGAAACGATCAAGGTAGAGTGGTAGTAATAGTAGCAGTAAAGATTGCTTCATACTTGAGATATCCACAAAGCATGTTCTTTGGCCACATGTTCACTCTCCCATGCATGGGGATCAAGGTATGCGGTGAAAGCTCCAAAAAATTATAAGTTGTTCGGAAGTATTCCTGCATAAAATATAGAAATTTCATTCAGAAACAATGTCATACAAGGCTCAAGTAGAAGAGAAAACTTAATAGGCTAAAATACTAAAGCAACTCCCTGACTATTATACATTTCTTAAGTCCTTATCGTTCCATTTGTACCCGAATAAGTTCCTGTTTCAAGCAAAAGATTGATTTATATTCAAGGCTTATTGTTCCAATTTCTCATTAAGTATTGGTATTCAAAACTCATATCCAACACATAATCGGACATAAATATGGGGGTATGATTCTCCAAATATATGGAAAAACTTATAAAAGATTGAGTATACTTGTATATGATGCTCATAGTCGAGTCCATGTACCAAGGTATTTGGTACAAATCAAAAGGTTAAGGGTTTATCGATATAGATGCAAAGGTTAAGGGTCTTATTTAGGTGCAGAAAATTGAACCCAACTGATTAAGTTTTGATGCTAAAAGAAGCAAAACAGAAGTAATTTCTGCAAGAATACATTTATTATGTGCCAAGATCAACTTTGTTATGGTCTTGTTTCAGAAAATAAAATTCTAGGCAAGTATAACTCTCTCCATATACCTTTTATGTTCCCCCATAACATATAACTTCAAATACAATTGAAGGAAAACTTCAGCTAATGTTCAGTTAAACAATAGGAAACAAAAAATAAATCAGTAGAAAACACTGAAATATGATAGATAAAGCTTATTGATTTGCCATTGAACTAGTATGCCAAAAAAATCACTAGGGCTTTCAAATGTGCTTACAGTCATGTTTCCACCAGAATTAATGTCCAGAGCAGCACTTCCTTGGCTGTGACAAATCCACAGGCGTATTAGCAAGGGAGTTCCGTGAAGAAAATAAGAATTAAGAGAAAAACCTATGATATTAGTTTAGGTTCAGAATCAAGTCATTTTGCATGGGTTCATCTTTTCACGAAAATTAACACCAACTTCTGCAACCCATTGTAGAATAGGAACATAACTGGATGATATGTATACCTTCATATGTTAAAAATCTTTAAAAGCTACAGACCAATCTCAAACCACAGCTATTAATCATTTTAGATTCATAGGATTGGATGGGCTTTAAGTCATACACCCACACCATAAAGTTCACAACCAGCTTGACGGAACTACTCTGTTCATTAACCAAGATTAAAGTTTTTGAAAAGAAGGGAACAAATTGTAATTAATGAAAAATTAAAGTTGCCAAATGGCTTCCTCCGCAACTTTTTACTGTAAGTATATTAAAAAAATCTTATCATGTCATCACTTCAAAATATATTTTTTAAACTAGAAAACAACAAAAGGATTAAGTTTTTATTATTAATGAATGTAGGTTTTGTTTGCTTAAGATGGATCTAAAATTTTTGCTGCTTGACAATTTTAATGTTGAATCCTAGTTACTAAACCTTTTTAACATATGCATTTCCTTTACTCTTCATGTACCTTCTTCGCAACAAACCTTTTCTCCAAAACCTTATTAACAAATTTTATTCATACTTCAACAACGAAAGGAAGTTCTTTCTGTCTTTTTTTTCCTTTTTTTATTTCTTGAAAGAGTGTTTTCATGTGCTTGTGATGTTTAAATAACAATGTTAGTAATTTCATGATTTTTCAGTCCAACACCACAATGTTAGAACTTCAGGCCTTTCAATTTGAATGATGGCAAAAGGTTTTTTTTTTTTTATAGAAGTTGGAGGTCTCATTAAAAACTCCCTTCGTATTCGTTCACATACTAAAAGTATGTTAACGAACATTGGAAGGAAGAAAAGAGTACCTCAGATTTTATTAATATAATACCCGATACAAAAGACACCACAGAATATCCTCTCATGGTGATGTACACCATTACAACAAAAACCTTAACCTCATAAAACCTCTTCCAAAGCCACAGTCAAATCACCTTACTACTAATTACACCACCAACAGTAGTAATAAAACAACGCGACAGAACATAATACAAAATGAAAGCAACACCTACAACAATATAGACTAAAATAAAACCACAAATGAAGAGACGAGATCTAATGAGACTTGTATTCTTCAGGAACCCAAGAGTTTGGTTTGAATGAAGGTTCTATCTCATGCACCATGACCTTGAAGAAATTGTCACCAACCTTCAATTCAACCATCGAATCAATTCTCGCATCAGCCTTTGTTAGGACTTGAATTTTAGCCCGATCAAAGGATGATGGAGATTGACAACTTTCGTCGATAGCCAATAAAAGACCCCACTTATCAGCAATGTTCTTGAAAGTATTCCAATTCCATGCGTGAAAAGGAACACCCTCGCAAACTAGCCATACTCGACGACACTCCATTACCAAACTCTCTGACCAAGCTTCGACTATGGAGAACCACTCTGCGAGAATCTTTGATTTGTCGTTCTTTACACTTCTCAATGAAGCATTGTCTTCGAAAATCATTAAAATCGCATTACCAACAGCTCTCATTAATGTGAAGCCAGTGAGACCCTTCGATTGCATTTGTCTAGCGAGATGGCCAATTTTAACAAAGTCCTTGCACCACCCCACTAGACAATTGCTCAACACCTGGAGTTTTTCTTCATCTATAACACCTTCAACTTTATAATGATTCTTACTCGAATCATCTTCCATCCCAGACTTGCGAAGAATACTTGTCGATGACTTTCTCCAATATGAATGACAAGGTTTGAATTTAGCGAAAGAAACACCAATTTTGCTGCCGTCGATACGAGAGCCATTCATTTTAGGGATCGTTCTCCTTGCTTCTTCGAATGATGCGAAGCGAATAAAACCAAAACGAACTCCTTTTGAATTCCTTTTATTTGGAATAAAAGCATCAAGTACCCGGCCATGAGAGCAAAATAAAGATCCAAACCTCTTCCAATGGATCTTCTCTGGTAAATTATCAATAAATAACGTGAAGCATCCAGACTTGTCATTGATGCAACCCTTTGTAGTGGACTCCCCGGATCCATCTTGGACAGCAACTGCGGTAGACTTTTCAACATAACACCCAGATTTATCATGCACGTGAATACTTGGAGACGCTCCAGGAGCTGGATTTGGCACAGGCAAAACCGGAGGAACAGGATGACAACTATAAATGTCCACTGCAACAGAATCAGTACCCATTCCTTTTTTAACAACCAGATTTTTCTTTGCCATCTCAATGTGCAAAAGAGACTTCAACTTGGCATCAAAAACCATCTCCTGAAGGGTATCTTTGGCAGCAACAGCAAATTTTGCATTAGAGAATAGAGCGCAACCCTTGGGCTCTTTTCCCTTGAAGCTCACTTGCGAGGCTTCAAAACCTGGAAGCCATCTCAGCAAGTTTTGCAGCTCTCTCTCTTTGACATCTATAGGCAGACCCGAAATGAAGATGGTACGAACCTTGTCATGATGAGAATGATGAGTAGGCGAAGAAGGCGAGGCTGCAGAGGACGGAGGAGCTATGACCGGAGGTCTCTTCTGGTTACACGGGAGGATTCCTTCACCCGACATTAGAGGAAATCTCAGTGACTTAACGTAAAATCCCTGTCGCACGCCCGGCGATGGAGAATGTTTGACTGGCCGGCGAAGAAGAGAAGGATGGTAGGGATAAAGAGAGTCGGACAGGAAGGTCCTGAGCCATCGAAAAGGAGGAACAACGTAAACTTCCTTCTACCAAACCCTCAGACTAAAACGCGATCGTGAAAATCAGATACTGCCTTCAACAAAACTCTCAGACGTGGATTAGATCGGGGGAATCGCTTAGCAGAACCTTGGCTTGTTCTGATAAATCGAACCGGTCAAAGGCAGACTCACGGGGAATGGCAGCAAGACTGAACGCCAGGACAGAAAAGGAAAAGATCGCAAGTGAAAGACGAGCCCGAAGGTCATACGAGGAACTGACGACGGCCGCGGCAAAACCGGTAAATAACGGCGATCAGATCTGCGCCGAAAGAAAGACTTTCTCGAAAATCCAAACTCAAAAAAGAAAACAGAGTGAGGAGACGATCTTCCTGATGAAAAATGGCGAAGAACGGATGACGGAAAGTGGCGGCGGACGGCGGATGTCGGACGGCAGACGGCGAACGGCGGATGTCGGACGGCAGACGGCGGACGGCGGATGTCGGACGACAGACGGCGGCCGGAGGACAATAATGAAAGACTTGGGCGAGCGGCGATGGAAAAAGATGAGAAGAAATGATGGATGAAAAATAAAAGACGCCTTGAACCAAGAGAGAAGCGGGAGCTTCTCTCACTAGGTTTTCATGGACTTGTTCTTGATGGCAAAAGGTTCAACCTTAGTTTAATCAACAAGAAGATAAACCTTCTTTTCCACCAAAGTAAATTTATGTGAACGCTCATCTCACTAATGTCAATATGCATATCTGAATGCGAACTGTAGAATTTTGTAAGTCATACTTTTCATGCACAAACAAATAAAGAATATTTTTTATATACTTTTATTTATGCTATCCTGTTATTCAAGAGTTTTGGACAAAAAATCTTACCCCACACAGTGATCACCCACAATTAATGAGTTAGTACTAACATCAAGCAATGCCACATGACCATCCGTGTGTCCCTGAATTAAGAAGAATGTTTTCCAGATAAAACAGAAAGTTGCACATCCAAATTGCACTTAAGAGATCGAAAAATTAGTGATCACAAATAACTGTATTATTAAATGCACATATAATCATTTAACGGTGTTTATATAAACAAAAACTAGCCAAGTACAGCACGATTATATATTCTTATTATTCTGTTTTCCAAATGTCATATTAGTTGATAAACACCTCTATGATCTTGAAATAGCCAAATGGGAACCGCACCTTGGGCTTCCTAATACTTAGAAAACAAACCTCCATAATTGAGTAGTATTAATAAAGGAGCTCGTTATTTTAAGTTGTAACTATCTACTCCATTCTACATGGGGATATCAATGAAGATTTTCCATAAATGCCATTCAAAGTTACCATATCACAACATGAGGATCAGTAATACGCAAGGTAACTTCCAAGGAAATTACTATATAACAACTTCAAAAATGTGTTGCATGTTTTTCTTCCTATCTTGCAGTCTTTCTGTTAAGGTAGGACCAAGCACAACGTCTAGAGTGCAACCTAGCCATTTAATAAAAAATAACAGAAAGTACAAATTGTAGAAGATAGAAAGTTAAAAGAGAAATACTGGAGCAAAAATGACGGTCAATCTCTGACCACCAACCAAAATGTCTTCTCCTCCAGAAACTGAGGTATAGCCAAGAGACCAGTCACCTGTCAACATATGACCACAACCAAACCATGATCTTGACAGAGAATCGTGAAGTAAATCAAAGGTTCTGAGTGATATAATTATATGTATGACAAGTTATTCAAGTTATTTAATGGGGTATATACTTATTTCAATCATTCAATGAACCATCAGGCTTGGATGGGGCATTTATCAGCCTTGCATGGTAAAAAAGGGAGAATATGTTTAGTAGCCTTTTGTTTTCTATTAATAGCTGAATGAAAGTGAATTTAGAGTTGGGTCTCCCATTCCAATTAGTGTAATTAGCAGCTAGGCTATTGAAAGAAAATGATAAAATGATAAGAATTCAAACATAAACACCATTTCTGACCTTTTCCAATGCGACACATAGTGTTTTCATGTGCAATCATTGTAGCATTAGGATTGCATTTTTGGATAACAGAAAGACCTGAAGAAAACCATCAGTCAGTATAGAGTATAGAAATTTGAAGCATAAATATAAAACTAAGAGCATGTTAATTCAGAAGAACAATCTCAGTTGGCATGAAAATGGTAATGAATAGCCTTAGTTGATTGTATAACATTATGAAATAACATGGAGATATGGTTCCAAATACATCCTTTTTTAATAAATAGTGAAGTCAGCAGCCTGTTGGACCTCATTATATGAAGTGACTTATTAGCCTCATAATCATACAAAAGGAAACAGTTAAAAAGTACTTCCAGGAAGAGATTCCTTGGTCTTCTAGAAAACACAAGGCAGACTGTTCATTCACATCAATCATCAATCCTATTAAGGATAAATATAAGCTAGCTATCAATCTAGAAAGTTGTTAAGACTAATATCTTTATTCAAAATTCAAGTTCCATGCCAATCAAGCATATCTGTATAAAGCAACCAACATTTAAGATTCATGCATGAAAAAAAAATCCCGACTAAGCAAAAAAAAAAATTATTGATAATAAAAGTTCTTGATAAAAGGACTGCAAACACAATGAAGCATCAACAGACACCATAAAGGCTTAAAATGAAAAACAATATGAATTCCACGAAAAACCACTGTAAGAAAGTGTAGAAGCAGGCCAAATGCAAGCAAGTTAAATATAGGGAATTCCTATAAATACCTGTCCTTGCCAATGCATAGACAATAAGCACAATTGCATGAAGATTATAATATAATAAGAACACTTGCATGATCAATTTATCTAGTGTTCAATACCAATACATTATTACATAGACAATATGAGCATATGCACATTTTCTTTAATTCAACCCATTTTTGGTATATCAGGAAGCGAGTAAAGCATAATATCACTAAGTGAAATTTGAAAATATCTCTTTCAAAGAAAAAGAAATTTGAAAATATCAAATGTTATCTTCTAAGAGAAGGGCAAAAAGAATTCTGGTTAGAGAAGCTTTAGAACATGTCAATATTTATACAGCATCTTCTTCAGGTTTCTCGGAACTCTTGGATGAAGCAGTAGCTACATGGCAAGTTAGTCAGATTCTGGGGGTTTCTTTTACACAGGGGAAGGAAGCTTTCTTGGATAAAATCATTGAGCTGGAGAAAGGTTTGAAGGTGGCAAACTGAGTTGCCATTTTGGGGAAACTAGATTATTCATTAGTTTTTATGAAGGATAAACTAGCTATAATTTCATGGAATGTTAGGGGTTTGGGAAAAAGAGAAACAAAGCAGTTCAGAGATTAGTCTCTAACTATCATCCTTCTTTTCTTTGGCTACAAGAAACTAAAACAAAAAACATCCACAAGTCTTTTTTGAGAAGGAAGGGATTGAATATTTTTCAGGGGGTTATTGAATCTCCAGCTACTGGTTCTTCAGGGGGGTTATTATTTTGTTGGGATGAAAATGTGTTTGAAATGGAAAATCACAGTATTAACAGAAGATTCATTGCGGTTATAGGGAAATTCAGATTTAATCAGTTCAGAAGTATTCTCATTAATGTTTATGGACCCTCAGTGGATGAAGAAAAAGAAAGTTTTTTTGAAGAACTGAGCGTGTTCATTTCTGGACAGGATCTGTCGGTTTGTGTTGGAGGGGACTTTAATGTCTACTTGTGTGAGGATGAGAAGGTGGGCAGAGCTCAGAACAGACTTTCTATGAGGATTTTCACTCAGTTTATTCAGTCAACAGGTCTAATTAATCTGCCTTTGAATGGGGGAAGGTTCACTTGGTGCAATAACCAAGATGATCCGACTTTTGTTAGGTTGGACAGGTTTTTGGTGGACGGACAATTTTTGGACGTTTTTCCCGAGATAATTCAGTCACTTATTCCTAAATCTATTTCACACCATAATGCTATTCTTTTACAAGATGGCGGAGTTGATTGGGGGAAAAAACCTTTCAGACTATTTAATTATTTGATGGAGGAAGAAGGTTTTGAGGAAATGGTTTGTCATACTATAGCAGATTGCAAGAAAGATGGGAGAAAAGCTGGAATCCTAAGTGTTTTGAAGAAGTCTAAGGTTGCCATTAAGAATTGGACAGGGTAGAAAAATCAATTTCTGGGAGCCTCAATCTCAGATTTGGAAAGGAGAATTCACAAGTTAGAGGAGGACGTTCAGATGTTGCAGGACAGCTCGGTTCAGGGGAAAATCGAGGAGTTACGTAATTGTAGATCAGAGTTGTGGAGACTCCTTAGAATAGAGGAACAGATTTGGTATCAAAATTCCAGAAAGAAGTGGATTAACGATGGGGACCGAAACACTCGATTCTTCCATACTTGCGCTTCAGTTAGAAGAAAACGTAATGCGTTGAATGCTTTGTTAATTGAGGGGAATATTACTCATGATCCAGTTGTAATTAAGGCCACTGTTAAAGAGCACTTTTTTAATATTTTCAATAATCGGTCTACTTTGGATGTGGAAGACATTGGGTTGACTTTTCCTAGAATTTTCATGGATCAAAACATTCTTTTAGAGAAGGAATTTGAGGAGGAGGAGGTTTGGGAGACTTTAAAGTCTTGCGATAGTAATAAAGCTCCGGGGCCCGACGGATTGAACTTGGGATTTTATAAAAGGTTTTGGTTTGTACTTAAAGGTAACATCATGCAGTTTTTTCACATATTCCATAAGGGGAAAAATTGGGAACATGGTATTAACCACACCTTTATCACCCTTCTTCCAAAGGGTTCTAACATTGGAAGTTTAGATGATTATAGACCTATTAGTCTAGTAGGAGGTGTATACAAGATTCTTTCCAAGTGTCTGTCAAGGAGGATTAGAAGCTGTATGGGAGATATCATCAGCCAATCACAGTTTGCTTTAATACCCAGTCGGCAAATTTTGGATTGCTCTCTCATTGCTAACGAGGGCATTGACTATTGGAGGAAGAAAGGGCTAAAGGGTTGTGTTTTTAAAGTAGATTTCAAAAAGGCTTATGACACGGTTGATTGGCCTATCTTATTCAAGGTGATGGAAAAAATGGGATTTGGTTCGACTTGGACTAGTTGGATCAGGAAATGTGTCTCTACTGCCTCCATTTCAGTGTTAGTCAATGGGTCTCCAACCGAGGAATTTTCGATGGCCAAGGGACTAAGACAGTGATGTTCACTTTCACCTTTGTTATTTAATCTAGTAGGGGAGTTGTTGAATTCATTAATACTGAGGGTTGTTTCTGAAGGACTATTTTCTGGTTTGACAGTTAGCAAGAAGGAAGGGTCCTTCAAGCTCACACATTTACAGTTTGCTGATGATTTAATTATTTTCTGTGGAGCTTCAAAAACACAGATTATGAATGTGAAGAGGGTGCTCAGAGTTTTTGAGGTTATGTCAGGGCTGCAACTTAACCTAAAGAAAAGCAGTTTGTTTGGGATTAATATTTCCCAAGAGGAGGTTCAGACCTGGGCAGCTTCTATTGGTTGTTCTGTTGGGAGTTTCCCCTCTAACTACTTAGGTCTCCCACTAGGGGCAACTAAGAATGCATCTGCTATTTGGGAACCGGTGGTGCAGAATTTTCATACTAAATTAGCGGGTTGGAAGGCTGCTACACTATCATTAGCAGGGAGACTGGTTTTGATCAAATCGGTTTTGTCCTCACTGCCTACGTATTTCCTATCTATGTTCAAGATTCCAGTTTCAATCCTTAAGGCTCTCAACTCGATCATGTCTAATTTTTTATGGGGAGGGGGGGGGGGAAATGGTTCAAAGAAGATTCACTGGATTAAATGGGATGATGTATGTAAACCTAAGAATGAGGGTGGTCTGGGAGTCCGGAATCTGACTAGTATGAATAGAGCATTGCTAGGGAAATGGTCTTGGAGATTTGCAAATGAGAGACACTCTGTTTGGAGGAATTTTATTTGTAGCAAATACAACATTGATTCTTCAAGGTTACTGTTTGATAGCAAGGTTTCTCCTCAATCTTCTTGGCTTTGGAGATCGGTGGTTAACAATCTTTACAAACAAGACTCCTTTGGCTTTAAGTTTCAAAGTTTGTGTAGTTTTTATGTTGGAAATGGTAAGCTTATTCGTTTTTGGCAAGATAGTTGGGCTGCAGATTATCCGCTTCAGTTTCTTTTTCCTAGATTGTTTTCGGTTTCTTCTAATAGATCTGGTAAACTTTGTGAGTTTGGGGAATTCCTTCCATCTGGTTGGGTTTGGGATGTTCAAGTTAGAAGAAATTTAAATGATTGGGAGGTTGAACAATGGTGTAACTTGGTGAGCTTCATCTCTCCCTATTCTTTGTCTAAAGATTACAGTGATATTTTACTTTGGAAAGGCAGTGGGGATGGTGTTTTTTCAGTCAGTTCTTGTATTAAAAGTTGTGCTTCAGGATCAGATGATGTTTGCTTCTGGAATAACATTATTTGGAGAGGTTTGGTACCCCTAGAGTTGAATCTTTAATGTGGCAGGCTGTGCTTTGCAAGCTAGCTGTTAAATCCGATCTGATTAAAAGAGGTGTTCAAGGTATTGAGGATGATTTATGCCCTCTTTGTAAATTTGTTGTGGAAACTTCCACGCACTTATTCTTTACATGTTCGGTTGCATGGGCTTTGTGGTACAAATTTTATAATTTTTGGAGATTTGGTTATGTGTTTCCTGCTGATGCAAAAACCTTTCTTACTACTTGGGATGAGTTGAAATCAAATTCTTCTATTTGGATTTTCATTCCTGGGGCTATCATTTGGACCATTTGGAAGGCCAGAAATTTTATTGTCTTTGAAGGGGGAAAGCTTGATCAGTTAGAGTTATTTTTCTTATCACGAGTTAGGCTGGCTTCTTGGTTTCTAGCTAAGCACAAGGACGTTTCTATTCATAAGGATTCCTTGATTATGGATCCTTCATTAGCAGATTCCTACTCGCCCTACAGTTCTATGAAGTCTTCTTCATTCCCTTGGGTACCTCCCCCTTCTGGTTTTTTTAAATTGAATGTGGACGCAGCCGTTAGTAGTGACTGGAAGAAATCGGGTATAGGAGGTATTTGGAGGGATCATTCAGGTTCAGTCCTAGGTTCTTTTCAAGAGTCAACTGGTCCGGGACCTCCGACTATGATCAAACTTAAAGCTATCCAGAGGGATATTTCATTATATGCTTCTGCTCAAGGGAGGGTTAAAGATAGGCTTATTGTTGAGAGTGATAGCAGGGTTGCAGTAGACTGGATCAACAATGTCAATTCATGCCCAGTTGTTTATGCATTCGTTGTTAGTGATATAGTTGACAATCTTAGATTTTGGGGGGGGTTATAAATTGGGTTGCAAGGTCAGCTAATATGGACGCCGATGCTTTAGCAAAGGCTGGAATAGGCTAATTTTTATGTTGTTTGTTGTTTCAGTTTAGCATTTGATTCCTGTTCGGGTGGGATTTATAGACTGTTGTAAGGGTTATTTCGAAGAGATCTATCGAGGTTGTAATCTTATTTTCTTTAATGAAAATCTAAGGCGCTCTTTTCCTCCTTCCAATGATTAAGGAGCTTCTTTTCAAGCTCCATTAATCAAGAAGGAGATTTTTAATGAGGCCTTCTAATCTTATCAAAAAAAAATATCAAATGTTATATCAAAAGCAATTAAGCTCAATAGGAGAATACCAATCTAAAACATATGCAGTTCATAAGATATTCAATATGCACATGAAAATAACCAAAATCTGATTAAACATAAACATCCAAAATCCAAAACGACAATATCCCACACATACTAAAAACAGCCTAATGGTCATCAAGACCAAAGTTCGATCCCAGAAAAACATAAAAACTATACCTCTAAGTTCAACTCCTAGTCCTAAGAACCACACCTCAAAGCGTGAATATCATCGTTAATTGGTTCAACGAAAGGAGGTGGAGGAGATGGAAAGAAGTGAGCAGTGAGACAATCCATATCACCACATAATACTGAAAGATCATTCTCCACCATATTAAAACGAGCATCCAAGTAAGAGAAGCGCTCATCCATTTAAGTGTGCTACAATACGATAAACTTGAGCATCACAAGGGTGTTGGCGAAACCAAAGAGGATGACGATATTCCACCAGCAAGCAGGGAGTGCTTTTCTGGGTGGTGGAGCATCACCTTCTACTCCAATGCAACAAATCATCACGTGTTGATGATTGGAATTTATAGTTTAAAATGTCCTTGCAAATTTGCAACAAAAAAAAAAAGATTTTATTGAGGGGGAACTTCTATTGAAAACATTTAAATTATTTAAGGAGAGTTTTCACTAGCAAATTTATCTTGTCTTATCAGAAAGGGAAAGGTTATTAGCTTCATAAGGTTTGAATTGATCTTTGTTTTGATATAACAAAACCTTAAGCTTAATGAGATTCATTCTTTTCTAAACATAATTCCAATATTGCATATTTCGATTAATTAGTTCAGAATTGTTTATAATGATTTTGAATTCTCAAAATTATGTTTTTAAATGTCTACAAATGTTTATATTGGTTTTCGGTTATATATGTCCTCTTTAAAATGCATTAAAAAAACATTTTCAATTCAACTCAAATCAGATTTTAGATATCTCAAAGACATTAGTAAGATGTGAAACATTTAAAAAAAATGTTTTTTTAGAATTTGAATTGAAAATGTTTAATAAGAGTTTGCAAAGAATTTTTTACGAAATGGTTTAAGAAATAATTTGTAAAATTGCTCATATATATATATATATATATATATATAATTAGTAAATGTTGTTAAATCAAAAGCTTATAGATCAAAGCTAACAGAATTCAACCAATATTCCCCTAATCATTTTCCTCAAATCGACTTCTTTCTAATTCTCATATTTAGGCTTTCTATTTGAACTAACCCAGCCTAATTACTCTTGGGTTGATTTTTATTTTTTGTAGCCAACTTATTCCAAAATCTATCATCTATATTCTTATTAACAGGAAAGATTTTCCTTTCTTTAAAATATTTAGAGAAGTGCCTCACAACAAACAAATATTGAATAAATGATGTAAATTACATAGATGAAGAGGTTAAATAATGCAAAATTCACATAACATAGGAAGAAGTACTTCGTGAAACTGACCGTCAACATGATCACGGTGATGATGGGTAACAAAGACAATCAACTTTTTTGGCAAGGAAGCTACAATTTGCTTGAGCTGGTCAAACAAAACAGTTGTGTCAACATCAAGTGAAAAGAACAGAGCTAGATAACCATAGAACAAAAGATCACATAATCACTAAGGTTTTATAGAAAAATATTTTACTAAGCTAAATAAAGTATCACACCTTTAGATGATCATTTTCCTTTCCTTTTTTACTGGAGTATATACCCTTTAATTTGTTTTGACAAAAGAGAATAAAGGAATTGCTATAGAAATACTCTCGCCAATGTGAGAATGCTCCCATACAGTAAAGTGTGGAATGAATAAGACCCTCTTGTAATGCACAGATTTTCCTTTCATGATCAAACTATGAAACTGAATATTATGTAATGACTCTCAAATTGCCTCCGGTAAATAACGTCTAGATTGAACTGAAAGATCAATCAAATGACATTTCACAAATTTCATAGAAGCTACAAGATCACATAAAGCCTATTGCTTTAATTAAGGGTTTTTTTGGCCCAATACCCCAGGCGGGTCAATTATTTAGGGTATTGGGCCAACATGAAAATTATTTTGGAAATTACGGCATTCTCTAAAGTTCACAACGAACTCATCACCTCGAGGTGTCAAGTTCCATTAAATACAATTTTTTAATGGATGGATCCCACGTAGGCCATTAAATTATTGGTTTTATTGGGACTCGTCACGTCGAGGTGACGAGTCTATTAAAGAAATATTTTTTTGTTAAAAAAAATTAATTCAGAAAATTAAAAAAAAGAGGGGGGCTCATCACCTTTGAATTCAAAAAAAAATAGTTGTTTCAAGCTGTTTGTCAACGATCAAAATTGTTTAAAATTTTTGTTAAGATAAAATTGTTTACAAAGTAAAAAATTATTTACAATCTAATAAAATTTATTTATATTTCCTTAGTTCTTGTCGATGTTGAGGAGTTGTCGAATGATAATGTCGCGGGGCTCGTCGAGTACGTCGGGGTCGTCCGCCTTGATCGTCATCACCATCGTGTTCATCGACTGCATCATAGCCGTTACTGATTCGACTTGGCGACTCCGTTGACTATATACAAAGTTATCCCATTCACCCTGACCCGCATCTTCGTGTACCATAGATGTGTGTTGGATTGCATCCCATAAATGTCCAACCCAAGTCGGCTGAGTCGCGTCTGAAGTATTATATGAGGTATGAAAACTGAAACTAGCCTAAGATGCATTATAGTAATCTTCAGTGGCAGATGCTGAAGAAGATGAAGACGCCAATGATTTCTTCTTGGACTTGGACCTGAGAAATCTGACCTGATGTTGTTTCCATTCTTCCCTCTATTCTGTTTTGTTGTCATGAGATATGGTTTTCCATTTGCTTCGTAACTTATGAGATAGGAATAATGGTTGAAATCAAGGTCCAACGGTGTAATCTCGTAACGCAGGGGGAGCGATAGGTGACGTTGATTCCAATGCTCGATGTAGGCAGCGTACCTCGTCGACCAATCTTCTGAATGTTTCCCACGCATATCGATTCTATGGTGTACATCCATTTCAACGATATCCGTAGGAATCGGCTGATGCGACGCAAACTGTCGCAGCACTCTATCAGCAGCGTGGCACTCCACAATCGCAAAATGTAATAACGGCGTCACGACACACCATAACTCAGACCCCTCAAAAAAATCTTGCGGCAACAGCCGGTGGATCTCGTCATCAATATACGGAAGGAAAAAAACTGTAAATATTAAATATCAAAGTTGATATATATAAAATTTAAAAATTTAAAAAAATAATAAAAGAAAATTTGTATACCGCATATCAACCGGAGATGTCGATCCTCATCCATACATCTTTTGTTGTGACACCCGACAACTTCATATCAGTTATTTTATGGCACCATTTAAAACATTTAAAAATAAAAAAAATAAAAACTAGAGTAAAAAAATTAAGTTTATCAAATTTAAAATATAATGTTAGAAATTAATAGGAATACCGAGTTGGTAAGCGACATCTTCCAAGGTAATCGTCACTTCACCACTCGGGAAATGGAAAGTGTGCGTCTTGAGCCACCAACGTTCGATTAGAGCCTCGATCAACGTCGAGTACACCTTGAAGCCACGTAGAAATATGGCTGGATAAAGATCGGATTTTTGAAGATATATCAGCATCTGTTTATGCGGATCTTTCGAAGTTATCCCACGCTGACGAATATTCCTTTCTCCTTCCGGTGGGACTTCGATTGATGAAACATTGACATTGTCGAGGCGCAACATCTCTGCTCGGGAAGCCATTTTTTGAAATTTTGCACAGAAAGTCGATTTTTTTCTCAATTGTTTTTCGGTTCAGGGTTTGATGATAAATCAAAACCCCAAACCCCTATTTATACCCAAATTTCAAATGCTAAATTTTTTTTTAACTGGTGGAACTCATCACCTCGAGGTGATCAGTTTCATATGACCGTTGAATTTGACTGTCGACAAACAGCTTGAAACAACTATTTTTTTCGAATTCAGAGGGACTCGTCACCTAAAACCAATAATTTAATGGCCCTAGTGGACCCACCCATTAAAAAATTATATTTAATGAAACTCGTCACCTCGAGGTGACGAGTTCGTTGTGAACTGTAGAGAATATCGTAGTTCCCAAAATAATTTTCATGTTGGCCCAATACCCTAAACAATTGACCCGCTTGGGGTATTGGGCCTTAATTAAGAGTAAACTAGGAAATCCAGCTAAGAATCCTATTTAAACTAAATCATGGATAGCGGCACCTTTTGATTTTTCAAAGAAGGGAGATGTTAACTTGGACAACATAAACTTTAAGTCAGTGACATAGCAGAAGTTTGCTAAAAGTGAAATTAGTTGGTTCAAGGAAGTGAGGGAAAACCATGAAAGAAACAGGTATTTCATACCTCTTCATGGTGCTCACGTCGGCATCCTGGATCCACAATCAATGCATCTCCATGAGCAACAAAGCCACAATCACCAAAAGTATCAGCAACTCTTGCAGGAGCAAATATTACCAAGTTTGTTGTATCAAAGGGCTTTGTTGTCCTACTTTGCATAGGTAGAATTATGACTCCAGGAGGATACTCCTGAAAGTTAGAATAAATCTCAGCCAGAAAAACATTTTAACATGTTAAATTCAATATTCAAGCAAACACTGCAATTAAAAAATGTCAATATTTTTTCCAAGTAAAACAAGATGGGCAACCTTAAGCCAAGTCCTATTATATATATGTATACGAAAATGAATATGCATGTGTATACATACAGGTATTCATATATGCATATGTATACATACAGGTATTCATATATGCATATGTATATGCATGTGCATGTTCCAAAAGGCAAGCATTAAGAAAGGATTCCTATGAGACTTAAAGAAAGCTGTTGCAATAACCGAGGCTGGCAACCTTTCCATTCATAAAGGGATCCTTCCTTTAAAATTCTATAAATTATGTCGCATACATGTCATATAATCAAGAAAATCTTCATTTCCTAGAACTAGGCACTGGCCTTTCATATTCATAATTTCACTTTGGAGTGAGAACCACAGCCTTTCATCTCTCCAGTAACTTGCATTTCTTGGAGCAAACTTCATCGGATCGTTAAAATAAAGAGATGGATTTCTAATATTGGGGAATTAATAATCAATCTATTGCACTTAGAAGTTTTGTTTCCATGTAAAGTTCGGTCATAAGCACCCTGAAATTGTTAATGTCTAGACCACATTCTTGCTTATGGCTAACGCAGCATGCTTTTGATAGATCACAATCAGTCAAGGTCACTCAAAAGACAGCAAACCTGATGATGCAAGGTGGGTGGTAATTTCCATGCAGCAGACTGCAATGAGTCATTTATAAGAGCAACAACCACCAAAGGCCCTACACGATCATTAGATAGTTTCACCTCCAGAAGCCAATTAAGACAGCTTTCAGTAGTCATCCACTTAGACAGCCCTGAACAAGCAGTGGAGTATTTCTAACAGTAAGTTGCTAATGCTTTACAGCATATTCTGCTGAAAAAATAAACAAAATAATAATAACCCATAGGATTTGAACAATAACATTCTAATGAACTTGTGGTATCCGATGAAGATAAAACCTGCCCTGATTTGGCGAGCCTCCAAGTTGATCAATTTTACAGCTTTAACAAACTCACACCTTCTAATGCATTTGAGAATAAGCTAAAAGCTAAAAACCAAGACAATCAACTGTAATCAAGCTAATATAGGAATTAAAGTTCTTAACTTTATATATTCGCCAAATCATTTCTCTTATGCATTCCTAGAAATCAGCATATAGGTTCTAGAAGAATTAGTCTAAAAAAAATTTAACCAACTATGTTTAGCTTGAAGCGCGAGTAGCCGAGTAATATAAACAGTACCTTGACAATTTCGATTTCCATCCAACAATTTGCCCATGACGAACACAGTATTAACTGGACCCCCAGGTCCGAACTCAGCTTCCTCCACATACTTAAACAAACTCCACTCCCCAACATCATTCATCTGTAAACCCAATTTTTCCAGCACCTAGAAAGAAAAACTAACTAACCACCATTAGATCAAAGAAACTCGAAAAATGAAACTATTTTTTAAAATGGAAAAACTTACCTCATTAAGAGCAAGCTGGACATCAAATTTAGTCAAATCAATGTCCTGAGAGGACTGGGCGCCATGGATAACGATCGCAGAGTGGGAGTGATCGTTTCGAAGGTTGAGAAGCGTGGAAGGAAGATCCCAGAGATCAGAGTCCACATAAGAATCGTACTGGTCTTCACCGAATTTAGGCGGTGGAGTTTGCTTAAGGAGGAGGTATTCAGCGTCGTGTAATGGGTTTTTTAGGATAGCAGCAAGATTGTGAGTAGCCATTTTTCTTTGGTTGTAGGAGAAAGGAGTTGATAAGGTTGAATCCGAAGAGACGAAGGTGATTAAACCCTAAAGTTTAAATGGTTGTCAATGGAGTGTGGGATTTGGCGGGTAGATGTGTTGGGGTAGATACCGTATTGATTTAAGAATTAAATAAAATAAAAGAGCTGACTCTAATGTCGAGTCGGAGACCAACACCGAGAGGTGGACAGGTGGTAGAATGTTCTGAAAGATGACCAGATATACAAATTAGAATGGGTAAATTACATAAGTGACAATTTAATTATAGAGAATTTTAATTTGATAAGTTGGCAACCGTACTCGAGTATGGGCAAGAGAGGTGTGTTATTAAATGAAAAATCTTTATTTATTATTTTATTAGAAAAATAATCGTAAACAACATTAATTAAAAAAGCATCTTTAAATTACACACAAAATTTTTCGCGTTTTATAAAACGCATTTAAAGATCCTACGTTCTATAAAAAATGAATTTCATGTATTTCTTGTGTCCTTTATTTAGAAATTAAATAAAGTAATTTTACATGTACAGTTTAAAGTATTTTTAATTAATGTTGTTTGGATATTATTTTTTAATAAAATAGTAAATGGAGTTTCTTTATTTAAAAATGCTCAAAAGGGGCATATGCCCAAGGCCCTCGTGATCAGAGCCCGAAACTGGGAAGTTATATATAATTAATAAAAGAATAAATTATTTATTTAGTCATTTATTTTTTTTAAATCATATTTAATATTATATTTTTTAATTATTCATCATTTAAAAATTAACAGTGACATTAATGTGATATTTTTAAATTATTTTTAATTTTCATTTAATTGTTATTTTATTTTTTTACAGTATGAAGAATATTAAAATCAAACTTAGACCCTCTTAAAAGATAATCATCTTTATTTTGTATGAGTAGTTTGGTGTTTAATAAAATTTATTGATGCTTTTGTTTTAAAATATGGTATATTTATTAAATAGTTTATTAAACATAATAAAAGAAACAATTTTAAAAAATATTTATTTATTCTTATTCTTACAATTCAATTTTTTTACAATACTTGTTATAAGAAGTCTAATTTTTATGCTCACCTCATAACATTAAAATCTCATATTTTATTATTGTTATTTTTATTTTAACTATTTTTCAATCAAATGATAATCCACGTATAAGATATAATAAACAAATAATTAAAAATTGTATATTATTAATAAATGAATTCTTGGATTTATAAAGAATTCGAGAAGTAACTCGATTATTTTAACAAAACTATGAGTAATATATGTAATTATCTATCACGTTCGAAGATTTAATATCCAAAAACTTAAAATAGAGGTGGATAATGCGAAACAATGAAAATTATTAACAAAAACTCTAATCCACTACTAGGACATGTTATTGTGGAGATGATTGATAAGTTCACCTATAAAGAGTGAGAAGTATAAATTAGAACGATTACAATATAGTAAAACGATATCAGAGACACCTTAGCATCATACACTTCTTCTAAATATAATATGTGCATGTGCACGTGCACGTGCATGAGTATACATGTATTTACTTTTAAAATTATTTTTAAATCTAATATTATATTTACACATTAATTACCCCAATACAATTACATATAAGCAGGGGAAGATGTATGTGGATCTCTAGGGAAGCCACTGCACAGTCATTATTTTGAGAAAAGTGCTAAATTTGTTTTAATTTGTTAATGAAAATAGAAAAAAAAATTTGCATACCCAATTTTTTTAGAATATGAGCATTAAAATTTTGGACCCCCATTTTTTAATTTATAGATCCGCCACTGCATATAAGATCTTTAAAATTCATAACCAGTACCATAAATTATAACAATACTCAAAGTAATTAAAAAAAACTATTTTGATATTTGCTTATTGAAAACAAAAGGTAATCTTACATGTCATTGTCTTATTATTTTTCTAAATATACTCGAAATTAATTTAACTGATTGTCAAATAACCATAGTTCATTATTTACAGTATCTGCAGCAGCAAAACACATAAATATAGACATAAATGGCAGCAAACAAATGCTATAACCTAACAAAAATAAGCCGGCAACAGAATCATTTTTATAAAACAAACGAGCACATTGCATGATTGTATGTTTGGCATGTTATTCTGACGTGGTTCATCCACGGAGTATTACTTATAAAATTTTAACACTTTGCCAGGTTTAAGAACCAAGGGTCGATCGCATTGTTGAACCTCTCCAAAACCAAAATCATAGACTGGGTTACCCAATTTCCCATGCCAATATGAGCCTAAGCAACAAATAAAGCTGTTGAACCAAATGCAAACCGGACAAAGCAAGTTCCATACTTGGATCCGGACAAATGAAAAACACGTCGTTCTTTGGATAGAGAAAATGAAGGAAAAAAAAGTTAACATCATCTTTCAAAATAATGTTGTTTTGAATATCAATATAGAAACATGAAAATGAAGTTTTAGTCATTTCATCATATTTGTAGAACTGTTGACCACGTCACCACGTTATTCTTGAATCAAATTGTTTAATTTGAAGAAAAAATTAAAATTTAATATCACAATCATATCGATTTGAGGTTTAATGATAAAATCAATACAAAAATAAAAATTTAATGATAAAATCGATATATATATTAAAATTCAATGATATATTTAACGGCATGAAAACAATTTGCTTTAATTTTTATTATAATGATATTTTTGTTTTCTATTTTAAAATATTTACTTAAAAAAACAAGTACCTAAGAATTGGATACGTGATTGACAAGTTTTTATTACAAATTCTTAAAATTGAACGGGGGATTGAAATTTTATTAAAGTTGACATGGCAACCTCCCTAGCATTATGTATTTACTAAAAAGGTATAAGCAATATTTAATTTCGAAAAGCCTATATCATGTAAAATTATTGTCGGATTCGCCTTTCGGTTGGGCCCGGAATTGGGCTTCGACGTGAATAAATGTGTTAGAGTCGCCACCGATCATTTTAAAATTTTTTAGGTGGATCGGACACCATCTTACCTGATCTGCATTTTGCCAAAGTTATTTCGGGTTCGAGAGTCGGTTACGGTCAAGGAAGGATTAGCACCCTTGAATTGCCCTTTTGGTACCAATTAATTTGTCGGTTGTCTTAGTTGCGAAAATTTAAAATTAAAATTTAAAAGTATTCGATTCGAATTACTTACCTTTAATTAGTTGAGAATTTCTCTACAAAGTTAAAATGTTAGAGGAAATAAGTAAATAAAAATAAATAAATAAATAAAAGATGTTAGGTAAAAAATAATAATAATAAACCGATATTCAAAAAAATGATAAAATAATAAATAAAAAGAAAAAATAAAGAATAATAAAAAGGTAAAGAAATCAAAAAGGTTAAAGTGTATAAGCAATAAAATAATAATAATAATATGAAGAAAAAAATAATGATAAAATAAAATAAAATTAGAGGACCAAATTGAAATGGATTGGAATTAATGGATTCAATTGGTATTTAAAAATGAACTGCAAAAGAAAATTAGGGGATCAATTCGCGAAAATGTAAAAATAAAAAACCGGGATTAAATCGATTAAACTGAAAATTCGGGGGCCAATTTACACCTAGGGACTGAATTGTAAAGTGACTCAAAGTTTTAGGGACTGCAGATATGATTTAAGAATCCCCTATTTGCAAACCGGTCCTTGGTATATAAATACCCAAACATGCCCAATTTCCTTTCATTTTCACACTTTTCTCCAAAAACTCTTCTTAAACGAAAGTGATAACTCTCTGTCAGCCCTCTCCCCGGGTGATATCCGGCCACCGCCTGGTACCCCACTCCGCCGTGCCGCCTTCGCTCTGGCTGTCACCTCCGGCGACCGGATAAAACCCAAAATCACTGAGACGTTCGTCTCCACTCCTCGATCTTGATTCTAGCAACGAAACCACAAAATAAGGCCTAGATCTTAGTATATCTATACAAATGTACTCGGCTTTTTACCTTCCCTGACGAAACTCTTCGTCTTCCGATGCTTTAACGGTCCAGGTCCCTTGGCCTTTGATGTTGTTCTCAGCCTCTGGTTTCCGGGTTGTTTTATAGTTACTGTTATGGCTCTTTTCCACTGTGTGTTCGATGTTTGCTTGTTTATGTACTATAGACAGTTCTTGTGGGTTCCGTTTGTGGAACTGTTGTGGGTATTTTGTTGGTCGTGCTTGTGGGTTCTCTCGTTGATGTTTTTGTGTGTACTGTCTCTTTCTGTGTTGTGGTTCGATCTCTCGATGATGATGAGTCCTTTTGATGTTCGACTGTAGGGGTATTTATACCCACCCCACCGATGGCCTACTCCGATTATGACGGGGTTGTTCCGAGATATCCGTTTACGTGACCGTTCATGGTTGACCGACTAAAACGGGATGGGTCAGTGTTTGTACCCTTTTTTATGAGACATCTTTTGTTAGTTCATGTGAATGCAATGAAAAAAGAAAAATTATGTGAAATATGCAAGAATGCATGATGCATGAAATGTTCGAGGCATTGATCCAAAAAACGTGTCTGTTATTGTAAATAATCCTTATTGGGGACAAAAGTGTTACATCTTAAGAGACAAAAACATTTTAAAAGTATAGACCCCGAACTACTTCTGACAAATTGATTCATCTTCTGCCTTATTCTATCATTGGTTGAATACTCTGTCGGACTGTTCTGGCTCCTCTGGCTAAATTGTGCAAGTGACGAGCTGCTTGCCCCAAAAAAGTCTCGAAGGACTGCATCTCCGACTTTCATTCTTTGCTGAGCTTGTTCCTAACGAAAGTGTCGTTGGAGTCCTCCATCGATAGGAACTATCCAAAAACTTGCTTCTTGAATTTGTCAATAGTGGTCTCCAGCTTAGCTAGGGTTTCGCCATATTTTTCTTGTTGCCTTTGAAGGGATTCTCCAGGTCAGTAACTTTTTTCTTATCTTGCCCCTACAACTTTCGCCATCCCGTTTTGGAAAAGTTGACTTTTGGCGTACTCGGTGGTCCATTCTGAGTATTCTCTGACCATAGCTGGACTTCTGAGTTTTTCATCTCTTGTATTATAACCCCTTTGTCCATTAATGCAGATTATTTACGTTTAACGAAC